TTCATTGGGGGATCTGTGCCCATCACCCGCTGCAGGCTGGAGCCATGCAGTGGGTGATCGGCTCCGGCCACTTGGGCTAGTTGCCTTGCACAGTTTTCTTCCCATTCTTGTTTGAAAACAATCATTCCTGCCCCGTCAAAGATCAATCTACAAGTTTGTTTTATATCAAACGGGAGCATGTCGTCTCCCCCGAAAACACCATCTATGAGGGTGGAGACCATGGCAGAATTAACCCCTTTGTCCGCAATTGCCTTAACAATCGCTTGTATATCCTTGGGGTTTATTGGCGAGTGGACCCTCTGTCCCCCGTCCGTCACCCGCTCCGGGAACGCTAGCGCGGCCGATGGGGCCCAGCTGGCGTACGCAATCTTTATTTTCCTCCAGTCCGTGAGAGGGATTTCTCCCCGTCGCAGTTCCTCTTTAATTTGGATGGAGACATTTTGGCTCTTGACTCTGTTTATCTCTGTTCCTTCCTCTTCCGAGTTCGAATCAGTTGCGAGCCACTCGTCCCAGCTGGTGTTGGAGTCGGAGTCGGAACTCGACTGACCGGTCACTTCCGGTTTCCAGTCCCTTTTTGCCGGGCTCTGGCCCCGCCCACTCCCTTTGTGGGCGGGCCTTTCCCTCCCTCTTGGCCCCGCGTTTACCCTACGGGGGCATTTTTTCACGTGCACGTTCTGGCTGGCCCGCTGCCCCTCGCTCATTTTCTTTTCCCCTTTTTGGACGCTCCTATCGCCCTCCTCCTTCTTGTTCTCCTCCCCTTCCCGTTTGTGTGCGCTTGCTAATTCCAGCGCTTCCTCCCTTTTCCCGCCATCCTCGCCCCGCCCTTCCCCTTCCCGCTCGGCGCCACCTTGGGGCGCGTAGGGCGGCGGTTTAGCCCAGACTTTCTCGGACTCCGGTGTCTCCGCGGCGCCCCCAGCCTCCTCGGCTAGCTCACTCCAGAAGGATTTAACTCGTTTCTGTCCCTCCGTAAGCGGGTCGGGGTTCGGGAATTGAGGGGACATGTCGCCCTCTTGCGGATCTTTAGGTTTAGCACAATCGTCATCGTCTGGGGGGTACAAAGTCTGCGTGGCTGCCCCGACTCCCAATTTCGGGGTGGCCAGCAAACAGTTCCTTGCCGCCCTCCAGGTCTCCTGTTCTTGTATGGCCTTCTGCAGGGCCTGTACGACTTTCCCCCACGACTTAAGGTTTTTCCCACTACCCGAGGACATCGTCTCCTCGGCTAGCGCTTTAGTGCACTTGTCCCACACTTCGGGGTGGAGAATATCCACCGGCTGGTCAATGACCCCAATTTGCAAAAGCCTCGCAACTGCGAGAGTAAAATCTTTAGGTTTACAATCAATACCCCACTGCTCATGTAATTGTGACACGACCTTCACAAGGGCTTCCATCCTCCTTGTTGCTCCGGGAGCGTCCTCCCCGCCGGGCTGGTCCTGCCGCTCCGGCCGCCGGAGGAACGGCACGGCGACCAACCCCAGGCCGCTCGGGCCATCAGCCCGCAGGCACCAACCTGGTGGACGACAAATGGCATTTATTGAGGAGTAGCACAGCATTATATAGCTTGGGTTTACAGCGTCACTTCCGTCTGCTGACATCATAGGCTAAACGCTACTGGCTATCCGGAGAGGGGGCCCCTATATTTCCGTACAGCGCGACATCTCCCGGCCGCCAAGCCCTAACTATCCGCAGTCAGTGGCTCTGCAAAGGCCGAGCTGCGCTTGCTTGTAGAAGCTGAGTGTAGCCTGTGCTTTGCACCCGGTTAATTTTTGGCACATTAGCACATAAAGCCTTGATGTGCTCCTGGATCGCAGCAGGAAGGGCTAGAAAAGCAGTGTGTTCGATGGGTGCTCGTTGTGGCCTTCTGAGCCGTTCCCGCAGGCTCCAGCACCGCCAGCAGCCCCTTTCCACCCTCACTGGCTTTTGCAACGTTAGGATCAGTTGATACAAACCGGCTTGTCTGCAAAAATCCCATCCAAATTGGGAAGGCTTGTGAAACCCAAACCTCCACCAAGCCGCAGCTCCCCTTTCTTCCCTGGCGGCAGCAGCGGGGAGGTCAGTCAGGAAATTCAATCTCCATCATGGTCCAAGGGCTTCAGCAAATGCGAGCGGTGAGGGGCAACTGAGAGAGAGCACATCTTTGGCAGATGCACAGTGTCCCTGGCACATACGTTCCAGCAGGACTGCAGTCGTCCGTGGACTGCTGGGAGGCTCACTGGGCATGCTGACAGCCACACACAATTTCCACAGCTGCCAGAAGGTTTGTTAACAAAAATGTGTTTTGAGACCTTGCTCAGAAGCAATTTTCCTAGCAAAAGTAATTTCAGCATTATTAAAACTCCCCTGATTTCTTGTTACTCTTTTTTTTCTTTTTTTTTCTTTTCTTTTTTTTTTTAATAAAAATTACCAGTATAAAATATTCTGGAGACTATGGTAGAGAAGCATATGCTGTCCATGCTCTGACCCTCCACAGGCGTTCCCAGTCCAGGTGGCTGAGGCAGCCTGGGGCGATGGTAGAGCTGAGGAGTGCAGCTCTCATTCAAATCAGCATTTTTTGATGCAGGCCAGCAGTTCTGGTTCAGGGTTCATCTTTACCCCTGCACTGGGTCATCTTTCCCTGCTGCGTGGGCACTTTTATAGTCAGCTTGTGAAGGAAGATGTAATAATTATTAACAGGAAGAAACTTAAGCATCATGCTCAGGGGAAGGACAAGGGTTGTAACAACCCTCGGCTGCGATGCAGAAGGAACGCAATGATGAGCAACAGCGCCTGGTCCTCTCTCCCTTCCTACGTAGTAGGGATGTCAAATTTTAAATAGTAAAACCTCAGGGGTAAGTGAGAGGCTGCGTGAAGAGTTATGAGCAAGCATCTCATAAATAAGCCTAACCTATCCTAATCCCACACAGTCTGTCTTGCCTAAACTTACATCAGAGATGCCCAAAGCTGCAGGAAGATGGGAAATTAGCCCGTCCTTATAACTGCAGATGCTGGTTTCCAGAAGAGGTTCTCAGAAAGGAATTAGTGAGGCTGGATTTCTACAGCCAAGGAAGAGCGAGTCCTGTAGGAGAAAGCAAGACTGTAAGGGAGCAAGAGTAAAGGTCCGTATCACTCAGCATCCTCTCCAAGAGTGAATATTGGCAGATACTCCAGGAAAATGTAAGAGCCACAGGCAGAGGATATTCTCCCCCTACATGCCCGCTCAGCCTTTGGCAGTAGCCCCCAGATGAGTGCCTGAGCCAGCAGGTGCACCCCAACTCGCCTGTTTCAAAGCCACTGAAGGATTTAGCACCTCTGAGGTTGCCCAGTTTCTTTCAGGCCCATTTAGATCCTGGCTTCAGGGACTTTGCAAGGGTACGTCGAATTGCGTGGTTCACAATCTGTTGGTGTGAAACCTGTTATCTGGTTGTGGCCAGGCGTGCAGGCTGCCACCTTGCTGGGACAGGCAGCCAGGTGATTATCAACCAGGAGCTGTGTGCCACTCACCAGGGCAGGTGCCAGGCTCAAAAACTTGGCCAGGACAAGGGAAAACAGAGACGCTGCACCTCCTGGAGTAGCGATCAGCAGCTGAAGATGCTGAGGAGTGGCATGGAGCTGCTCCAGGGCATAAAGCAGGTTATAATGCCAGGCAGAGAGAGGCAAATATACAGGCTCTTGGGGCAGTGAGTCCGGCTGGCTCCTGGGGACCACCATGTGCTGCCAGGAGAGTGTGGCAGTCTCGGATGCCCACGAATCTGTCCAAGGCAGTGGGTCATGCTAGCAGGTACAGGGACCAAGGATGGGTTGGGAGACCTCAGGTCACTAGGGGCACAAAATCCCCCGAAGTACGGGTAGCTTCTCTTCCCACGCTTTTCCCGCCAAGGCATCGTGGCCCAAACAATTTTGGATGTGGGAGTGTAAACAGCCAGGCTGTACCCTGCAAAGCTATGCATTGTGTTTAATAGCTAAAATTCATGTTGTCTAGGACAGAGCTAAGCAGGTAACCCAGTCCTTGGGGTCAGAAGGGGAGCCCTGCACAGCGGGGGAACTAAGGCGCACGTTAAGAAAAGCATCTTGAACAGCGCTCTGGACCCTTTGCTCTGTGTCACCAGTTTGCCTCCTGTGCAATTTGCTTCTGCTGCCCAGGCAGCGACATACCTCATTGCTAGAGATGCTGATGTTCAAACAGCCTTTTTGCTCATGGTGCCTAAAAGCCAATTTCCCCACAGCTCCAAAGGCATTTTTGCCCCCAACACAATGGAAAACTCAAGGGGTGCATCATCCCCTTGGATTTTATTGAAAAAATACTTTGCTCCGGGTTGCTACAGCCTGAACACCAATGCCGTATGTACAGATTGCTCTCTGCCCCTTTGCTCCTGTGCTGAGGATGGGGTAGTGGCTGTTGAAATACTTTTTAAAACTTAGTTGTCATACCAAAGGCTATGAGGATTTTTTTAATCCTCACCTCAGTCTTGGTTCTCTGTGTGCAGCAGTTAGCCTTCGATTAGCTGCCCCAGCGGGCTTATGTTACATCTTGTGTGGGTATTTCATAGCCTGATGAGGGTGTCCGGCAGGGATATTGGTGACATGGGATATGTTATTTCCAAATGCTTGTAGGTGCCTCTCTCCTCTGGCTCTGCACCCTGGGGATGGCAGCACCCAAGGTTGCAGTGGTTGGTGCGGGAGTTATCGGCCTGTCCACAGCGCTGTGCATCGCAGAAACTTGCCCCAGCTGCTCCGTGACAGTCCTTTCGGACCAGTTCAGCCCCAACACAACGAGCGACGTTGCAGCTGGGATGCTCATCCCTCACACCTACCCAGGTGCGTGCAACCCGGCGTGGTGTGGCCCATGGCACCGCATGCGGCTGCGTGCCTGGGTGTGCAGCGATGCACAGAGGTTCAGGAAGAAAAGTGCTGTTCCCTGCATTCCCCATCTGCCCTGTCTCCTCGACATGGGCTTGGACGCTTCTCCTCTTTGCATTTTCCCTCTCTGCATGTTTGGTTTTGTTTACATGCAGGCACACCGATCCATGTGCAGAAGCAGTGGTTCAAAGAGACCTTCACTTACCTTTTTGCCATCAGCAACTCAGCGGAGGCATCAGAAGCTGGCATTCACCTGGTCTCCGGGTAAGAACAGCCCCCCGGGGCTGCCTTTGGTATGCGTGTGCCCGTGTGCTGGAGCAGGCAGCAAGGTTTTCCTTGCTGGAGTTCAGGCATATTCCCTTCATGGAGTAGCTCTTATGACCGTATTCCCAAGAAACTGCACTGCAGCTGCTCAGATACGACGTATTTTTAAGCAAAATTCATACATAGGTGTGTGCAGAGAAACCACTCAAGACTGGCCAGCACCAAATATCTTTTAATAACTGGTGTCTCCCATTCTGTCATCCACCAGTTGCTTGCAGCAGGGGAAGTCTTCATAGGGAGTGACTGCAGGATCCTCCAGCCTCAGTAACTAGGTACAGGGATGCAGCTGGGGGGAGTGTGAGTCGGGGGTCTTTGATGCTGCCCATTATCTACACAGGAATTCACCTCTTGGGAGCATCGAGGCTGGGCACTCTGTAGGTTTATGGGGACCCAAAAAAATGTGACCGGGTATGCAGGTCGCCCTAGGAGAAGGTCCAGCTAGGGTGGCTGCAGCCATGATGGGGGGTAGCTTTGTACTTCTACAGCTGGAAGTTCATACAGTATAGTTGGAAGAACTCTCTCCAGTTTAGTTAGCCCACTGTGTCACCTGCAAGCTCAGCTGTGGCAGCCCCTCTGCCTGTTTGCCAAGGTGGGTATTGCAGTCGCAGGCAGCAATGTTACCCTGTTGCTGTTAACCTTGCAGAGCTGCACTGATGAGCAGGATCAGGTTCCTGAGTTCCTGGGTTTGTGCTAAGATTGCTGTGAACACGTAACGTGGCAGAGCAGTAACAAGTTTAGCAGCTTTTTCTCTGTGTCCTTTTAGGTGGCAGGTCTTTAAAACCACTCCCAAGGAAGAGTTACCTTTCTGGTCAGATGTTGTCCTGGGATTTCGACCGATGTCTGAAGCAGAACTCCAAAAGTTTCCACAGCACCGATTTGGTCAGGCCTTTACGACACTGAAATGTGACTGTCCACCCTACCTGCTGTGGCTGGAGAAAAGGTTGGTTTTGCTGCAGGCTGGGCACACAGAGAGAAACCCGGGCAGAGGAACTAGTGTCGAGCTGGGGACTCCTTGAGAGCCCTAGGTTTGAACAAAACTGGAAAAGGGCTGTTTCTCGCTGGAGAAAATGCAGCAAGCTCTTCCTCAGGGAGAAGCACAAGAAATAAATACCCAGTTTTTCCAAAATGTGAAAGGCCCCATTCATGCAATGTCCACTTACCACCACTGTGGCTGTACAGTGGGACTGACATAGCCATAGGGGCCATGCTTGGCCAGCCAGACCTTGAAAGTACATCAGGAACCTACCATATCCTAAGAAAACATGTGGGTGTTCCTTGCTTGTCAAACTTCCCAAATATATCCCTCTGTTCTTCAAGATACATCCATCCCCTGGGAGAATAGGCATGTCTGGGAAGATGTCTTGTCTGTGACGACTTTGCATTTAACAAGTAGCTGGACCAATTAATCTCAAATTTGGTCAACAATTGGAGTAATTTCTTAATCCAGTCAGGTGAAAAAAGGTCAAACTGCACCATCTTGTAACAAACCTTTTGGAAATGTTTGCCTGTGTAAAATGGGTGATGCGCGCACTCTGAGGAATCATGGCTTCGGAGTTCATGCCTGGATTGACATGATAGTTAGAAAATTTGCCAATTTCCAAGTTTCCCCCAAATATGTGGATTTTGAAGAACTGTAGGAGAGTCAGGATGCAGATCTAAAAAGGTTCTGACACCTGGAATGTGCATTTAATCCATTTAAGTACCTCTAAAGTGAGCAAATAGCTGTCTCCTCTTGAGAGAAAGTGATAGGCTCTAAGCTGATTTGAGGTTAAGTAAAGATACATGTACCGACACCGTGGTACAAATTGCCAGCTCAGCCAGTTGCTTGGATGCCTTTCATCTCACTGCAAAATGTGAAAAAACGTTTCTTGTTCTAGCAGCCAGCCAGGCTGGGAGTACCCCAGTGGCACCAGTGCCACGTGAGGTCTGTGCCGCCTCCTCGTTGCATGTGCTGTCATGTTTCATTGCTTAACCAGATCAGAAATTTCTGCTGAAGCACAACTATATTGTTCAACCCATTTAGTACCTGCCCTGTGATTTCTGCTCTCTCCTTATTCCTGCTATAGCCTTCTTATTTCTCAAAGGATGTAGTCTCTAGTAAGATGATCAAGCTCCTTTTCTTTCTCTTCTCTCTGCTGATGAGAAATGAGAGCATATTAAACATGTAACTATTTCTCAAACCCCTAGTGACCTGAGCAGTATTTATAGACCATTCTCTTGGCAATCCACAAGGAAAATTGTTTTGGTGCCCACCTGGCTGGTCCAAAAATGAACTTCAGCAATTTTTTCCTGCTTGCTTGCCTGAATTCAGGAGTTTCCAGCGGGTTTTTTTATTGGTGTATTTTTCATGCCATGGTGGCAGAGTCCCAATTACAACACTTCTGAGCTCTCCCAGTGATTTTCCCAGCCAGAGCTGCTGCACGAGACCTCCCCTCTTCTTCCCAGCCAGCCTGAGTGTCCTGCTGCACCCAAACCCCAGTCCCCAGAGCACCAGCCGTGCCCTGGATCCTCGTCTCACTCGCTGCTTTGTGGGAAACCACTGCTTTTATAGCGGGGTTGATCACTTTGCCAGCTGCCAGAGTATTGCAAAGGACAGGATTTCCCACTGAGGGCACTGTCATCACAGACCTGTCTCCCGACTTGCTCATCCAAAAACCCCCACTAAAGACCCCCAGCAACTGGATCCAGCTGACAGCATGCAGCGACTCCATCTCACACCAATGTTTTTCCACGGGAAAGGACTTCAAGCTTCAGGCGAGTTCAGGGTGGAATTTGGCTTGAAATTGAGCTCAGAAATGAACCTCAAGAAGGGGTGAAGTTTGCTGAAGAGCAGATGTGGATGCATATTGCTCTGAGCTCTCCTGGGTGACTCCTGGCTGCTGCTCTTAGAAGGGTATGGGTCTCCTGGGAGCCCTGTGCCACGTCTGCCCAGCCTGCAGGGACATCTTGGGTGTCTCACATGGCACTAGGTGACTAAGTGGCTCCTGGTGTCAGGGGGGTGAGTTGGGAACGAATGTGACGGTGTGTAACAGGCACATTAAAAGGGGTATAGTATGATAGCGCTCTCACTAGCAGAAGTAAGTTGGGGAATAAATCTGACATTCCTCAGCTTGCTTGAGCTGTTAAAGCTTGGTATGGTTATAGAGATGAGACTGTGAGGACCTGACTCTCTGCCTAGGGTCTTATGCCAGACTCTTCTAATATTGATCAACGTGCTGTATCTTTTCCAGCCCAAACAAGCTAAAAAAATAGCTTTGATCAGACCAAATCAGACAAATCACAGACAGAACCCCCCTGGCATTTTCTTTGCCATCTGTTGTTTGGTTTTGATTGGTACATTCAAGGCGATCTATCTCATTTACTTAATGTGCATAATAATTACATGGGGGTTTAGGGGTTTCTTTTCTGCCTCACTTCTGGAGTCTTTTTGCAGGTTGAAAGCAACTGGTGTCCAGATGTGCACCAGAAAAGTTGCAGACTTGTGGGAGCTGCACAGCGAATATAACGTCATCGTCAACTGCACGGGCATTGGAGCCCACCAGCTGGTGGGGGACGAGAAGCTCTTCCCCATCAGGGGACAAGTACTCAAGGTTCATGCTCCCTGGGTGAAAAACTTCATCCGGGACGGGGATGGCTTAACTTACATCTACCCAGGGATACACAGGGTAACCCTAGGGGGAACCAGGGAAAAGGAGAGCTGGAATCTCTCCCCTGACCCTGGCATGACCAAAGACATCTTTGACAGATGCTGCTCCCTTGAGCCCTCGCTGCGGGGAGCTCAGGATATTGAGGTGAAGGTGGGCCTGAGGCCATCCAGGCAGTGCGTGAGACTGCAGAGAGAGGTCTTGAGCCGAGGAGGAGTTAAGCTCCTGGTGGTCCACAACTATGGGCACGGGGCAGGGGGATTTTCGGTACACAGGGGCACAGCCAAAGAGGCTGCTCACCTGGTGGGAGAGTGCCTTGCTGCCCTGCAAGGCTCCCCATTGAGGGCCAAGCTTTGAATCCCAGAGGCTCCTTTTCAATTCACAACAGGGTAGTGTTGCATGTCCCAGTAGCAGCTTTGGACTTTTATTCCATTACGAGATAGAGAGAACCTAAGACAAGAGCTTGTGCCATTGCATATGCTTGGCGGTATCTCACCTGGCTTCCAGTTGCCACCTTGGAAAGGCATGATGGTTTGGTCCAAGTATTAGTCCAGCTGTCCTTCTCCTCTATCTGGCATTGTTTCTGCCCTGGGCATTTCTCCTAGCCGCATGTTAAGGAGAAGGCAAGACATGTAAATATTCTTCACGTAACAGGGGTCAGATTGCTGCAGTATAATATAAATAACATCAGTCTAGCATTTCTTCTTCTACATCTGAAGGCTATTGGATGCATTAGGTTCAGGTTCAGTAAAATTTAGTTCTCTCCTCTTGTACCAAATCTAATCTAGTATTGCCCTTGCTCCTGCCATCTTGCTGACCAACCTCACCATTTTCCATATGATTTACACAGAGAAGAAAACCCCATGCAGTGCTGCATTACAGTGTTCCAGGTCAGCTCATACAGAAAGCAATGTCAGGTCCTGTCATGCACAGTGACCAGGCAAATGTGATTTTAAGAGGAGGTCTGTGACACTGAGGACTGCATTTGCTCATATTACACCTCAGGGAACTTAAAGTTTCTGCGAGAGGAAGTTGCCCCATAGGAGCTACAGTTCTCTGCATCTTTTCTCACACTTGTTTGCAAATCTTTTTTTTTTTCTTTCTCTGAGCCCCTCAAATTTTGCTCTCAGCCACAGACAATTTTTTTTCCCTGCAAGAGCAGTGTTGATATGCCCGTGTTCTACAGAAGAGGATTTTTCAGGGTAGGCTTGGGAGTGCAAGCATCTCTTTCCTATTTTGCATCAGCACTGGCTGCTTTCTTGCAATGGTTGATACAAATAAATCAGTGACAAACCAATAAAGATCTTAACACCAGCTTCAGTTTCATAAAAAGAGAGAAGAGCCATTTAAGACTAGATAAACACTGTAAAGACAAATTTTTCTGTAACTGGAGGTGGGTGAGCTCCTCTGCCAGAAGGAAGCTGAGCCACCAGAGCACAGAACCCTCGCTCCATGGCAGAGGCTTTGCGCTCCCCTCAGCAATTCAAGCCGTTTGATGTGGCTGAAGATAGTCGCTCCCCAAAATCGGAGCTTACCATCAAAGGACAGGCCTGATTGAACCACTGGTTAGATCTTAAATGACTCATTCAAGAGCCTTAGTGTCCACTTTTGTCTAGCTTTTTTGTCCTTGCAGTTACAAAACAAATCAAAATTCTTCAAGAATTCACATGATTAAAACAAACTGATAAATAAAGTTACAATAATGGAGCAAATGTCACTTCTGTAAGTGTTTTCTTTCATAAACAAGGGGTTTTCTTTCATTTGGGACAGCCTGACAGGGCCAAGAAAGGCCACATACAGACATGGCTGCCAACTCCTGCTGTTCTCAGGGGGGATGAGGACAGTTCTCAAGGGACGGCTATCAGAAGAAACATCACCAAATTAAATTATAGGTCAATAAGTGCCTGGGATCAGCCTAAGACAGCCCTGCTTTCAGCAGCCTTGCCCTCTTCTCCTCAGCTCTGAAGGCTAATTTTGCATTCCCCAGCCCTCCCCCCACCCCACCCCCCCATCATTTGTCCCTTCCAGCAGTACGAGAGGGCAGAGCTGCTCCTTTTGGCAGCAGTGTTGGTGTAGGGCTTGTCAAACTGCAGCTTTGTCCTCAGCTAACACAGAGCATAAAAATACATGGAAAAAGAACATGAGAACAGTCAATTTTTTCTTAATCTTGTTTTTAATCTTAAAAAGTAACAAACAGTGTAGCTTATCCTGGAGCAAGAAGCACTACAAATGCTAATGGGGTGTTCATAGCCCCATGAGAAACCAGAGCTCCGGTTGTGCACTTCTGCTCTGCAGGGTGGCGGAGTTTCTTCTAATTTACTTCTAAAAGTTGTCTTGCTGGTAAAAATGGCAAAATAGGTTCAGCTGCAAGGCCAGTCAGTCTGGTGTCCTAGCTCTGGCCACGGCCATCAGTGGAGAGGGCCACTTTCACTTCTAGCTGTTCCTGGCCCAGGGGCTTTGTCAGCTGAGGGCTAGCTTAGTGTTAGATGATTTATTTCCACACATTTGTCAGCTTGCTTCTGAAACCACATGTGGTGGTCTTGCAGTCCCCGACATCTTGTGACAACAGGGTCTGTAAAGGGAGAGATTAACTTGCCCAGAGTTCCTTGCCTTCATCTTTGTCTTGAACCTGGAAACACCATTTGAGGCCCCTTTCTTGCATCTTCTGAGAAGCAGTGACTAGTTCTTCTCCATGACCTTTCTTGAATTTATAAAGCTGCACCATACTCCCTCTCGGACTCTTCTTTCCCACCTTGAAGAGTCTTGGTTTATGTAGCTGCTACAAACATAAAGTCATCCTGTATCTTTGGTCTTCCTTGTTGCCCATCTTTATACCTTTTCTCACTCTGACATACACTTTCTGAGGTGGAGGGACCAGAATTTCACACAGTACTCAGGGCAGGGGATGAACTTTGTATTTAATTGCTGACATCTCTCTTCCCTTCCTAATAATTTCTTACATTAAATTGCTTTATAGTCACTAACAAGCTTTTAACTGACATTTGAATAGAACCACCTAATTCCAAGATATCTGTCCTGAATGGTACTAGCTGGTTGAGAGGCCATTGCTGAGGCTGGGTAGTGAGGGGGTCTTCCTCCCAGCTCAGCCATGTGGTGTTCTCTGCTGTTATCCACGCTGCGTTTCACCTGCCATTACTTTGCCCAGGCTCATGGGATGTTTTTTTGCAGCTCCTTGCAGGCATTTTACTACCTTCAGTAAGCTGGTACCACCGTTTACTGATGGGTATGTGGATGAGCACCGGCCCTAGCACAGATCCCTCTCAAATGTCATTGGTGACTTCTCTCCACTGTGAAAAAAGGATAATTTATCGTTACCTCGTCTCTCTACCCCAGATGCAGTTGCTGACTCATGAGGGGATCTTCCCTCTCATCCCATGCCAGATTAGCTTCTTTATGAGTCCTTGGTGACAGGCGTTATTAAAGGCTTTCCAGAAGCTGGGCAGCTCGTACCGAGCGGATCGCTCTAATCTGCAGCCTTGCTCTTTCCTCTGAAGCCGTAAGAGGGTGGTGGAGCACAGCTTCATAGCTCCTCGCTGCAAAGCTCCGCCGATTCCTCCCTCTTCATCCTTGCAACTATTCTACTACCATGGCTTTTAGCGTTTGCCTGCTACAGGTGTCAGATTTAGCGGTTTGCGTTTCTCGAGATCCCTCACAGCTCTTAAAAGAAAAACAGTGTCACGTGCCATCCTCTTTTTTTTTTCTTTGGCTGTTTTAGGTAAAAGGTTATACATCAGACCTAATAGCGCAACCAGTTCCCATTAGCGTTCCTTAAAAACCCACAAGCGAGTAACATCTGCTTCTCATGAATTTGTTACTATCCCTTGCATCTATTTGTTCTAAAACCTCATCTAATGGCCCTTCAATCTGAGGCAGCTTCTCTGCATCATCCCCTTAATAACGGCTCTGCCTGTGGGAATTTCACTAAGCTTTTCTGTGCAGACACAAGCACGCCGTTTAGCTGTTGCGTTAGGGCTTGTTTTCTCTCCAGCTTCTTTGCCACTCTGATCGTCTGCTGACTGCATACCCTGGTCACCTGCAGGCCCTGCGGCAGGCTCCTTGCTCCTGCTGGGAAGCTTTCTGCCTATTAGCAAGCTATTTCCTTGGAATATTTTTCAGTCTGCCTTTCTGTTTCTGCTTTTAATTTGACAGAGTTCGTGTGCTTTTCCGTTTCCTCATTTTGACTGGATCTATTTCGGTTCTTTCCCATGTAATTTTTATCATGCTATTACAATGAACCAGTAATGATCTTTCTTCTGGAAGGCCTCTGATATTTCAATACCCTTATAGAAAAGTCAAGCATTTTAGTCCCATCCCTTAATTTTAGACTTGTAGCAGATAGAAACAAGCATACATTCAGCCTGATTGCTCCAGCTCCTGTGCCCTGTTGAAAGAGGCTTTATTTCTCCAGATTGCGCCTTGCCATTTCCCGCTTACTTGTGATTATAAAGATGGCAAAATGGCACCTTTAAGGACCTGCCATCGTGAACCCCTGCTTCTCTCTGCCTACTCACCTCCCCCCAGTCTCTAGCTTGAAATTCCTTTTTAAATCTTAAATCTTTCTCGCAGAGGCTTTCTTCCATGCTAAAGTCACGCCACACGAGAGCTGAGCGTCCTACTCAGGAGCCTCAGCTTTTTGTTCCAGAAACTTTCGGTTTGCCAAGAATATGTCCTAATATTTTGGGAATAATTCCACATCCCTCCCTCATTTTTCTCCCTAGGCATGGAGAATTTAAATATTGTAAAATACATATCCATAGATACATAGTGATGCTGCCCTGTGCCAACTACCCACGAAAGGGAGCCACAGTGTTTCGACGTCTGCAAGCCGGCTCGCTGACACTGACTGTTTGGCTTGCAGGCAACTGAAGTCTGGTGAGAAGAGTCCTTTCTTGTTTCATCTCCCCAGCCTTGGGCATCAGTCTCTGCAATATCTCATCAGCCACCTCCGAGTTTCTGCTCCTCACCCAAGAGCCTTTGCCAGGAGCTGAAGCAAAGACGTGGCCTGTGTTAACTGGAGAGCTGAAGCCAAGCTGGCAGCTGAGGAATTTGCAAAACTCCATTTTGATCCTAAATCTCACCGTGCTATTGCATCAGCTCCATAGTCTTCACCTGGAAGTGCAGTGCAAGTATCAGGGCAACGCGTGCGCGTGGGAGAGGGTTAACAGTGGAAGGTCATTAAACCTCCACGGCTTCCCATACCGATGAAAGGCATTCTTTAAGGGCTTAAAGAAAGACTTGGCTGTCACCTGTGTAAAGCATTTTATCCTTGCACTGTTCCTTAAGCCCATGCATGTCCGGACAAAAGTTAACTGGATCATACTTGAGTATTTCCTTCT